TGGCTGAGCAGTGCCGGTGCCTCTCAGTCACGAGGTCAGCCTGGGCCTGGCTGCGACGGCCTAGGCTGGAAGAGGTACCCAGAGGGTCCCACATGGGAGGGGACCAAGATCCCCCAAGGCCAAATCCCCCACTTCCAATCCTCCCGAGGAGGCCAGGAAATGAGGGAGGAGGGGCCCAGGGCCCCAGGCGTTCTGGAGCGACCACGAGGGTATTTACTGCAAACTTTGCTGAGGGCAGGGCGGTGGCAGGAGTCACCCAGCTCAACGCGTCTGGGCCCAGGTGGTTCTCTCCTTCTCGCTCCGGCCCGTCTCTTCCCCCCTCTTGTCCGTCTCCTTTCTACCCAGCTGTGTCTGCCTCTCCCTGTCTTTCTGCTCTAAGTCCAGGGTTATTTCCCTCTTTCTTCCCAACTTTTCTATTCTTCCATGGAATCCCTAGAATTGAGTCCTGGAAATAATGGATCGAAATTGTTGTTCTTTAAAATAAAATAAATAATAAGCTCTTTCATTTTTAGACTAAGTGGCCTTGTTTTTTTTTTTTTGTTTGTTTGTTTGTTTGTTATTACTTTATTTTTTTCAGTTAAAAGGCCATCTGGAATTCAAATAAAATGCAAAACAAACTTGGGAGAAAGGATCAAGAAAAGGCAAGCTGATGGGCCTGAGAAGAGCTAGGACCCTAAGCCGGGGCTCAGCGGGTGCTGGGGCCAGCCAGGGCTGGGGCTGGGGCTGGGGCTGGGGCTGGGGTCGAAGTTGAGCAGGACTGCTGCCTGGCAATGTGTTCCCCAGGAAGTTGTTCTTGATTTAGTTTAAACTAAATGAGCAGCGCAGAGTAGCGAGAGACGGTGGTTCCTGCACTTTGGAGTAACTGTTTTAAAAACCTTCCCGCTCCGTGGCTCAACGGGATCAAGGAAAGAGACGTGGACAGCAGGAGTCCCTCGCTACCCACGGGTTTCTGGGTTTCTGCTCTGCGGCCAGATTCTTGGACAAACCCAGTCTGGCCCCAGCCAGCTGCGGGAAAAGGGGCGGGGGCACTGCAGCTTCAACCCCTCACTCCAGCCCTCAGGGAGGGATAGGGAAGGGCCTGAAGGGGGCAGGGAGCAGGAGTAGGTCCTGGGAATTTTGCTTCAGGGGAAATCTCCCGAGGAGATTGGGAACCATTGAAATCCCAAGATCAGACTGATTGAGTTGGAGACCCAGATTCCTTAAGCATCTGGAATCTCCTGTGTTCCTGAAACATACACACAGACACACGTACACACATGCACACACGCTCCCTAACACATGCACATACAGACTCGCTTCCTTCGTCTCACAGGCTCAGTCCTGAGGTGGCTTGAATTTTCACTTAGGATTCAGGGAGGGGAAGGGGGAATTCCCATACTGTGTTCTTGTCAGGCAGTGACCAACCCTGAAGGGGCGTGGGGCAAGGAACTCAACTTCGGGGGCCAGGGAAACCCTTAAGAAAATGCCAAAACTCCTCTCCTCAACCCTCGGGTCTCAAACATCTGTTGGGGGCTACTAGAGAGAGACATCACCCATTCCCAGATCTGGAAGACCAAAACTACCCCCTCTCCCAAGTCACAGCCCCCCACCACAAAAAGGCAAATGCTCCCCTCTTCCAGTTCCCAGCACCTGCCTTTACCTGAGCAGGAACGCGCCTTGCTGCGCTGCTTAGGGGTGAAGCTGGAGGCCGGCCCCCCCAAGAAGCCTCCAGGGTGGAAGAGTCCACTGCTGTAGTCGTGGGCAGCCGCAGGCACATAGGAGGGGTAGGTGGGGATGGGGTGGTGTGTAGCAGGCTGACTGCCCATAGTGGCTAGGCCTGGGCGCAGGGGACTGCCACTTTCCATCTTCATGCTCTCCGTCAGTGACACCTGGTACTTGACGCTGTCCTTGTCCTCCCCTCGGGCTGCGCTACCCCCAGCGGAAGATGAGGCTGGAGAAGCAGCCCCTGTGGTGCTGGGGTCAGGAGACACTTCTTTGGGTGGCGTGGGTGGGAAGCCGAAAAGATGGGAGCCAGAGTGGGCTGCTGTGGGGGTGAGGGAGGCCACTGAGCTCCCGCTGCCTCCCCCGCTCCCACCCCCAGCCCCTGGGTACACAGAGAGTGGGCCTCCAGGGCCTCCAGCAGCTGAGGGGTGCAGTGGCGTCTTGGAGAAGGGGCTCACGGTCCAGGGGTTGTGGTGGTGGGCCGCAGCGGCAGAGAGGGCTGCTTTGCCCCCGTCCAGCCAGGGCAAACCCGGGCTGTGCAACAAGTGTGGGCGGCACATCTGGCCTCCAGTCAGGCGGGCTGTGGGCAGAGGGAGAGAGGGTCAGGGTGGGCAAAAGGATCAGGGTAGGCAGAGGCAGGGGCGCCCTGACAGACACGTGAGATCACGACTCCCAGAACAAGTCGTCATCCCCTCCCCAAAGAAAACCAGAAACCTAACACCCCACCGATAATAATTAGGAATGTCAGTCCGAGCTGAAGGACAAGCGGCATAGAAGGAACCCCACCGGAGAGGCCCTACAGAAACCCTCAAAGGACAGCTGGAAATGGACAGAAACCCTATGGGTCCCAGAGCCTCCCCAATCGGCCGCTGCCCCCACCTTTCCCTCCCCGATTTTTCAGCAGCTCGATTCCTGCAGATCCCACATCCGGGAAGCGAGTAGCTGGGCCCTCCTCCCCTTCCTCGCCTGGCGCGCAGCTCCTGGGTTCCCATCCCCGCGGGCCCAGCGCTCACCGTGCGCCGGGCTGTAGGAGACGCGCGCCCGCGCGTGGGCAGGGTTGGCGTAGTAGGGGTTGCCCTGCGAGTCCAGGTGATTGAAGAAGACGTCCACCTCGTCGGGAGGCAACAGCTGCGCGGGTTCCATGTAGTTGTGCGCCAGGCCCGGGTGGTGCGAGTCGGGGTGCTGCGCATTCAGCACGGCCGGGTGCGCCATCCAGCGCGGCTGCTCCGGCGCCACCTCCATGGCCGGCGGCGGCGCCTCGGGCTCTGGGTGGAGGCGGCAACGGCCCTGTGCGAGGAAGGGAGCGTGAGGCGTGCCGCCAGTGCCTGACACCCCCAAAGTCCCACCACGAGGTGTCCTGCGCGCCACGGAGCCCCAGCCCAGCTCCTCCGAGAACGAGGACCAGTCCCGGGTGGGAGGAAGCCCAAAGCTCAAAACGAAAGGAAGGCGGGGGAGGGGGTTCAGCCACGCACACTCACGTGGTGACCCGCAGACCCAGAGCCACACACTCCTGCACATGGGGCCACACCCGGGGACGGGGACCGGCCCCGACACCAGTGACCCCAACAAACGCACAGAGCAGCACTTCAGTCAGACACTCATACTGAACCCCCCGCCCGGTAAACAAACACAGGAACACAGACTCAAAGTTGGAGACTAGGGCCCGGGCACCCAGTGGCGCACTTGATCCCAGAGACACACACCCACGCTTGGCGACAGATACACATACTGACCTCGACCCCCAAACACGCACACGCAGCCCCTAAGCGCAGTCCTAAGCGTCACAGCCAGAACCTCTCAAAAAGGCACACCAAAGCAGTCACCCGTAGCCTGGCCCCTCGCCCGGAGCCACCCCCCAGTCCCCTCAAAGCTAGGAGCGCCCCAGGCCCCCAGCCTGCTCATGAACCCCAAACTTACAAACGCAGCCGTGAGGACAGGAGGGACGCGGCCGCTAAGAGTGAAGGAGCTCGAGCGGGAGCCCCGGAGGCGACGGGCCCAGGGACAGCGAGTCCGGAGGCTGGCGGGGCTTACAGGGTAGGAGCGGGGGGTAGCGCGCGTCTCGGCCTCGGGCCCGCCAGACTCCGGCCCCTCGGCATCCTCCGGCCGCCCTGGCGCCAGCTGCCGACTCCTGCACAGACATGAAGCGGGGGCCGCGCACGCCTAAGAAGCCCACGCCAGCCAATCAGTGGCGCGTGCCGCCCAACCTCCGCCTCCCATTGGCTACGTCCGCAATTCCCGAACCGCTGGACTCCCGGACTGACCCGCCGGCCTGCCCCCCTCCGCCGGCGGGCCCCCTCCCTGCGCACCCCAGGCGGCCCCTGCTGCCAACGCGCCCCACTACCAAGGGACCCTCACCCCAGGCTCGACCCCTGCAGCCCCTCTTGCGAACACTCCGGGATTCCTCGACGCTCTGGGCCTCCCTAGCAGTAACTAACCACCAACTTCCCCCCTCCGCAGGAGCCCGGGCCGCGCACCCTCTGGATGGCCTCTCCCTGAGACCCTAACCCTGCCACAATCCTTCACCGCTGAACGCGGTCAGTCCGAGCGCGGCTACCCACCCAGACCGTTCCCTCCCCCAGCTCCAGCGCTGGCTGGGCTGGCGGGGTGTTGGGAGGGCCCAGAGGACCGCTGCAGGACAGCAGGAATCGAGACGGGCAGAGAGGGGCAGGAACTACAGGGCCCTAGAGGGCACCTGAGCCTCAGACACGCGGCCGCTTAAGGGCTGTGCTTGACCCAGTGGAGGTGGCAGAGCCGGTGGCTCCAGAGAGAAGGAGGGGGATCCCCTCCCCGGGCATGGACTTCGAAGGCCAACGGGCCCAATTGCCTGGGGCGAGGCCGTGGAGACCCGGACTGGCGCCGGCGCCAGCTGGAGGGAGACGACCCCGGGCAGAAGGTGGCATTTTTTCCTGCCGGGGGTCCCCGAGGTGGCCTCTGGTGAGGGGGAGGCGGTGGTCTGAGGTCTCCGTCCCCTAAGTCACCTGAAACTGCTCCCCACTCACTTCCAGCCCGGCGATCCGGCTCTATGGGTCGAGTAGGCTGGGCACATAAGTCTTGCCCCCTCCCACTGTACAGACAGGGGAGACGGAGGCTCGAAGAGAGCCCCGGGCCGACGGGGGGGTTCCAGGACAAAGGCATTTGGGGGGACCTAGACAGGTGCTGAGTACTGGGAGGACTGAACCGCGTCCTCCAGCCCTCTTCCCTGCTGGGCCCGAGGCTCCCGGGGCAGAAGTCCAGAGGGCCCCCAGGTGGGTCAGGGGCAGGAGGAGGGCTGGGGTCCGGGCCACCCCCGGGAGAGTGGGGGAGGGGCGGCGGGATTGACAGTCGGTAATTGGGTAACTGGAGGCGGCTTCTCAGGCCGGGCGGCCCCGCCACCGCGACGCCGAGCCCCTGACGTCACCCGATTCGCCAGGAAATGAACTTTTTAATAATCCGAGGAGGGAGGAAAGCCCTCCGTCCCCTCCGCTCCGGGGGCGCCCGGCTGGGCCCAGCTCCGCGGGCGCGCCCCCGTCACCCCCTCCCCGGCCAGCTCAGGGCAGCGCCGAGTGGGCGCTGGCTCAGGCTGGGGCTTCCTCCTGCTTCTGCGTCTGGCGTCCGTTTGTCTGTCCGAGGCCCAAACGCAGGTAAACCGCGGGGCTTGGGGGGGGCGCAGAGCTCCACTGTGCTGGGAACCAGCGTGTCTAGTGCCCTGGGGGACCTGCCTGCCGGAGCCGCCTGCTGATCCTCCCGCTCCCCTCCACTCCGGGGCGAGCGGAGTCGGGTCTGCTCCGAATTCCACTCCGCGGGAACGGAGGCCTGCGCCAGCCGGGAAAGGCGCGCGAGGCGGGAGGGAGAGCGCTAGGTCCCCGGCGCCGGGCCTCCGCGGCCAGGCCCGGCAGGTGAGCTGTCTCGGTGCCTCCCGGTTCCCGCTCCCCTCTACGCGTGCAGTCCGGCCGGGCCACTGTCTCTCGGTCGGTCGGTCTCTCAACTTCTCCCGACCTTTAGCTTACGATTCTTCATCAACGCGTAAAATGAGATCGCAGCGGAACTCGAGCCTATTTGGCGTCTCCGGAGCCTAGCAGGACCCTTTGAAAGACACCGCGGCCCCGGGGATAATCCCCCGCGTCCAGCAAAGCTGCCCGGCTCGAGCGCGAACCCTGGGACCCAGCGCGGGAGGCAGACCTGCAGCTGTCCGCTGGGCTGTGAACGCCAGGGCCGAGCGGAAGCTTCCCGCCCGGCCGCGATCTGCGCGGCGGCTCGCAGGGAAGTGTCTGCACACCGCCCCCGGAAAAGCAGGTAATTCGCCTTTTTCTCCAAAAGGCGCGAAAAAAATTACCCCTCACCCCCCGCCTCCGTTCTGTGTGCAGCCGCAGTTTCAGCGCCGCGAGCTCGGTGCCTAACCCATCCGCGGCGGCGTCCTGGCTACTGCGGTAGTGGAGGTGGCCAGCCTGACTGAGTCCCCTGCCCAAACGTCAGCCCTGCGCTGCTGCCTGCCTGGCGCAGAGCGGAGCGAGGGAAGGGATTTAATTACCCCGCTCGGCAGCTCAGAAAATCGCCGCGCAGAGAGGCTTAGCAGGGCGGTTAAGGAGTGCTTAAGCCGGAGCCTCAGGAGACCCGAACCAGCCTCCTTGCCCGCAATCCGGTTGTGGCGGAAAAAAAGGAAAAAGGAATTCTGCCAGGTCCTTGCAGCCCTTGGAGTTGCCTTCCTTGACAACGCAGGCAAGGGCAGGCTTAACTGAAGCCTCCACCTCGGTTGCAGGTCCTGCGTAGGATGCGGGACTGCTGCATTCTCTGGCGGAAACGCACCCGCCTGGGAGAGAGAAATGCGGCGCCAGGTAGCAGGAGGCCTAGCTGGCCAATAAATGGGGACCTGCGCTCGTGAATGTCTGTGTGAGCCAGACAGACCGACGGACACCAACCGGGCTCCTCCCCACTAGACCGGAGACACCATCCTCCCACCTCGGGCCCCAAACAAACTCCTGGGGAGGCTCTAGGCAGCCCCCAGAATCGGCTGGGATCTTGAGGCGCTGTTCCAGGCCTGTTGAGAGCGGATTTACTCCAGTTTACGGCCTTGAACTTTGGGGTCCCCAGATACCTTCAGAAGGACACATTCCCTTTTTCAGTATTTTGTTCGTTCGGGGAGCATAGTTGGAAATGCTGGCGCTGCCTTTGATCACATTAAGAAGCTGTCACTTTCCTTACTTGGGAACAAGATTTCTCCGAGGACTGGAGATAGCCAGGAAACAGAAATTTCTAAGGACCCTTTTCAAGTGGCCGGAGAACTCACAGCGGCGATCGTCACTGTTTGAGTGGGTGCTTCTGCCTGGGAGGCAGCAGATTTGGTGCTCGGTTCTAGAGTGCTTCGCCTTGCCTCTCCTAAGCCGCTGGTCTCAGGCCGGACACAGAGCTGCCCAGGTCTCCCGGGCCTTGCAGCCCTCTGAGCCCTTTGTTTAAACTTAGCTCATCCGAGGCGGCCCCTTTGGGACGATAAGTTTGCCCTTCCTTTGTAACCTAATTCTTCTCGCCTTTTCCTTATGGGCAGCTAATTGGCCCGCGGTGTGGGGCTGGGAGTGGGGTGTCAAGAAAACCCATTTGCTAAGGGACTACCTTCTATAGAGAAATTTAATTCGCAACCCAGCGGTCTCCCAGCCCCAAATTGGCAATAAACCTTGAGGGGTACAGAGAGGAAGTGGGGTGCCTTAGCAGATGGGTGCAGAAGTTTCCTTAAAGACGAGTCATTAGATCTCAGGCCAGCAGTCATCCCTCCAGAGGGGGTGCCCAAGGGGGGACTACGGCTATAACGGCCCCTCCTGCTCTTTGGGGCTCAATTCCAGCCCCCCAAATCAGAAGGCTCCCTCCCTCAGCCTCAGTGCAGTTTCTCCCACCCCATTCCTGTTCTGCCTTTTTGGGAATCCTAGAATCTGTGGCCCCCACGTCTTAGGTGTCTCAGTACCCTGGACCCAGGCGCCTCCGAGCTTCTGTATTGCTTCCGACCCCTACATTCAAGCCTGGCAGCCTCCCCACGAGGCCCTGCTGAGACCCTCAGACAATCCAGCCGGCCTTCTCCCTCCTCCAGGAACAGCCACGGTTTACTCGGAGTGGCCGGAGCCGGCGGCCTGACAACTGGTAAATCCGTTTCGTTAGACGCAATTTGTCTGCGATTTGTCAACCCGGCTGGGAAACGCTCTCCAGACGCCTGGGCTGCCGCACGGGCCCTACCTGGTTCTCAAATCCTGCCTGCTCATAAACGAATCCCAGCACGGGGTGCCTGCGTAGACCTGGAGCTCACCACCAGATGTTCCCGACCTCGGAAGAGGAGGCTTTTTCCAAAACAACGAATTTCCTTCCTTGTTTTCCGGTAAAGGAGCGGCCGCCACACACGGGGGCCCTGAACGCGAGGCCTTTCCCCTCGTGGTTGGAGCAACCCGGAGTTCAAGCCTGGCCGCCACCGAATAATTTTAAATGCCCCGTTTTCAAACAGATCCAGAACGTCGTCTACGCCTACCGGCGGCAGATTCTCAAGCCCGCGGCGGCCCCATTCTTATTGAAATCCTACTAAACGGATTCCGACTCCAGCTTCAGGCGGGGGGAGACTTCCAGACCCGGCACTCTCCCCCACCCGCACCCCAGTCACACAGGATAAAGGGCTGCGTGGCGCAGCGCGCGGGGGCGCAAGCAGGAGCGAGCCGGGTTAAGCCGCGAAAAGCCGGCGCACGGGACCATCCGGCAGGTGCAGCCGCCGGTCTGCGGCCCTGCTCGGACGCATTCGCCGCGGCAGCCTGGGGGTTGGGGGCGGCCGAGACAAAGGCCCCAGTTCGGGGGCCGGGAGGCGGGGGTACTTTGCGAGGCTCTGGGAATGCCAAGGACTGTTGGCCTGTGGCTCCGAGAAATGGGAAGACTGGAGGCCCCAGGCGGGCCTGCTGTCCCCAAGTCCCCAAATACTCCCTCTGGTTCAAGTCCCTATAATCAGGGTTTCCGGTCTCTGTCAGGGCCAAGGAGAGCCCCAAAGATAGGGGCCACAGGGCAAACGGACCAAGCGATTCGGTGCCCGGCTGGCCGGGCCGGGGGCGGGAAGGGCCGGGTCCAGGCGGCTGGAAGTGGAAGGAACTCACCGAGCTAGGCGCGGTGGGCGGCGCCCCCGGGCGGACGTGGTCCGAGCGGAGCTGTGAGCAGGGAGAGGTGCCGGCGGGCGGGCTCGCAGAACCTGGGCGCGGGGTGGCGGCGCTCACCAGCAGAGCCTGGGCGGCGCGCCGAGCGGCCGCATGGTGCTCAGCGGACGGCTTTTGTCCGCCTGGTGGGCGACGGGGCCCGGCTAGGGTGGAGGTGGCGGCAGGCAAGAGACAGACTTAAGCAGCGAGCACTGCGGCGCTGGCCTCGCTACCTTCCTCGCGCTCACGCTGCTTCTCTCTCCCCCACCGTCCCGCAACGCGGCTTTTTATTTCGACATCACTTTGCGGGGGGGCAGGGGGTGGCGACGGGGGCGGGAGCGCCGCAGGGGGCAGGAGGGTGCCCGGGGCTCTGCACCCGGTCTACCAGGTCCAGCCGCCAGGCCGGCCGAGGGCCGCTAGGCACTCAGGGAGCGCGCATCCTGTGCATCCACACTCCAGGCCTCTCCCGCCCTCTCCGGAGCGCACACGCGCGCCCCTGACCTCAGGGATGCTCGATCAGAAAGCCTGGGATACGTCTTTACTGAGACTCCCCCCAGGGACCCTCAGGAGCTGTAGGCACACGCAGTCACTCACAATGGTACACAGACCCCGCTCCTCTGTCTTCAATCCACTTCCAGGAGTGCTCGCACCGACATGCACACGTTTGTACACATGTGCACGCAGCTGTGGCCCTGAGGACATTCTCAGACGGCTTGGATCATACCGACACACAAGGCCACACACTCAGATGCAGCTCCGCACACTCAGGACGCCCTCGCAGCCAGACTGGTTTAGCTAAGTGCAGAGGCACAGCTCCTCTCTCTGTCCCACCCCCACTCCAGTTCCTAACTCTGGGGGACCCAGAGCACTTTAGAAGTCCACCGTCTGGCGTCCCCTGGCCCATCTCCCAGGGGTAGACTCTCACAAAGGAGGAAACAAGGAAGGGTGCAGAGGGCTTGTTCACAGAAGTGGGGGGCAGGAGGTGGGGAGAAGGTGAGTGTGGGAGTCCTCATCCCAGGATGGCCCCCGAGTTTGTGGGCAAAGAAAGTCCAGTCCTTGTGTTGCCAAAGTTCTTACTAAGGGATTCAGCCAGCCAATGTCTCCCCCCACCCCCCCACCCCTATGATTCCCATTCCATCAGACCAGGGAGGGTGAAAGTGGCCTGGGGACCTTGGACCCAGAGAGAAAGTCCTTGGCCTTGGAAGGACAGGGAAATTTGTATTCCTGTGCCCAGGTGTGCCACAGAGGAGTGTGTCTGTCCCCTGATCTTTGTGACACCTGCTGTCTATAGGTCTTTCTCCAAATCTGGTGGTGACTATTGCATTGTGTGTGTGTTCTATGCATGTGGCCCAAAGCCTACGTCCTGTGTGCCCAGGTGTGTCTGCATGCATTTATGATCACATCAGGAGTGTCTGCAAAACTGGGTATATAAGTATGTCCATTTCTTCTTGTGGGTTCCTGAGAGTTTGTGTATTGGGCAGTAGGTCACAATACGGCTATTTCAGAGCATGACCCTGGAACTTGGCACGAGAGAGTGTGTCTGTGGAAATGCTTGTGTGTCCCTTTGGCTCTGTGTCTGTGGGGTCATCATGTCAGAGTCTCATGTAATGAGGGGGTGGGGATTTCCAAGTGTTTGCCTGAAAATTAGAGTGTGTCCTGTGTTTGTAGCAGTGCTCGTGCGGCATGTCTATGAATTGGTGTGTTTTGGAGTGTGTGTGTGTGTGTGTGTGTATGCATATATCTAGGCATGTGTTACTGTGTGTCTTTTTGTTGTTGTTGTTGTTGTTTGTAAGACAGGGTCTTGATCTGTTATCCAGACCGAAGTGCAGTGGTTCCATCACTGCTCACTGCAGCCTCAACCTCACAGGCTCAAGCCATCCTCCCACCTCAGCCTCCTGAGTAGCTGGGACCACAGGCATGTTTCACCATGCCTGGCTAATTTTTTAATTTTTATTTTTGTAGAAACACGGTCGCACTATGTTGCCCAGACTGGCCTCAAACTCCTGGACTCTAGCAATCCCAACTCGGCCTCCCAAAGTCCTGGGATAATAGATGTGCATCACTGCGCCTGGCCTGTGTATGTCTTTAATAGTTTGTGCCTGGGTATCTGCATGTGTGCTTGAACTGGTGTATGTGTAGGTATGTGTGTGTATGGTGTGTTGCATGTGTCTGGATATCCATGTATAATTCTGCAACTGATGGCTGTGAGGTGTGTGTATTTGTGTATATGAACATTCGTTTGGCTGTGTGCATGCCCAACTGTCTTTAACATAGGGTATCAGTGTGTATTGTTTTATCTTTGAACTGCTGGTGGGGAGGAGATGTATCCGAGCATGTCTGCATGTCTATGTACAGCTCCATGTATGAATTGATGTGTGTTGGCGTGGGCATTTGTGTCGCCTATCTGAGTTGTGGGCAACTATACATATGACTACATCTTTGAAATGCATGTTTCCCTGGCCAGTGCAGCCCTATTCTGTGGACTGTGGAGGTGTGTGTCCTGGGTGACGCCGGGGGAGGGGGTGCATCCCCCAGGATCACCCACCATCCAGACCTTCCTTAACCAGCAGGGCAGGCCGCCAGTGGAGCTCCAGGGTACCATTTGCTGGGCACTTGCTGTCTGTGGGAGGGGAGATGAACTGATAAGCCTTATCTGCTGTCGCCAGCGCCATGCTGAATAACTGCTCTAATGAGGTGTCCTCATTGGGACCACCAGATCCCAAGGCCCCGGGCCTCACCGGGGAGGGGCATGGGCGAGCTAGTCTGAAGCACAAGAGCAGGGCCTGGGTGCCTATGGGGCCTTTTCTAGTTCTGTCTTGTTTCCTTGGAAAGGGGGTTGCAGGCCTTCCACCTCCCCACCTCACCTGCCTCCTGCCTACTGGGCAAGGCTGGACTGGCCAGACCAGAGCTGGCTGGAGCCTTCCAGTCTCTGGTCTGCAGCCAGGTTCATAGCCTTGAGAGGCAGGAGGTATGAGACCTGGAGGTGTGGGGCCCTCAGGGTGGGGTGGATGGAGAGAAATGGAAATCCAGTGACAGAAAGATCCAGAGAGACAAGGAGTGGGGAAAGACAAGCAGTGGAGAAAGAGATGGGAGGCCCAAGGACAGATTTTTAAAAACAATAAGGGAGAGGCACTGGTTGGGACAGGGCTTGGGGTTGGGGACACTCAGGGACAGAAACAACCAAAAAGTGGCAGAAAGGGTCACAAAGATGGGAATAAAAGCAGAGAAGGTGATAACCAGAGAGACATAGAGACATGAGAGATAAGAGAGGCTGGAGAGATAAGAGAAAAATAAAGAGATGGGAAGAGAACCCCAGAGAGGCTCAAAGAGCCACTGCAAGATGGGGGACAGAGGTGAGAAGGGCCCCGGAGAAGAGTGGGGACACAAAGTAAGGATGGGCTGGATGGGACAGACAGACTGAGATGGAAAGGCAGACGGGGCTCAGCCGCCAGACTCGAAGCGCCGGGTGCGGGGCGAGGCCGGGCTGGGCAAGAGCTGCGGGCCGCCGGCAGGGCGGGGTACTGAGGCGCGGGCGGTGGCGGCGGGCAGGGGGCTCCGCGCGGGGCCGCGCTGCTGTCCCGGGTAATTTTTCATCTCGGCCGGCTAATCTTTGTTCCCGGCGAAGATAATGAATAGCCAATCGTTATCTGCCCGGCTCCCGGAGGCTGCCCGAGAATGGGGTTGTACAGGGCTGGGAATTGTTTCCAAAGTGCCGCGGAATAAATGGTGTTCCTTATCTCTGCCTTCCAGATTATCGGAGCCCTTTCAGAGAGCGCACAACAAATGCGCCCGCCATCGAATGCATCATTTACCACCGCAGATCCGCGCGCTGATGGGCAGGCAGATAGCCGTCCGCTGGGGGCACGCGGGCGCCCCGTGCCCGAACCACCCGCCTGCCTGCCAGGGCCACGGAGTGTGTGCCCCTGTGTGCCCGGCGTGTTTGGACGGACACGTGGGTGTGCCAGTGCATGGACTAACGCCGATGCGAGTGTGCGGGTGTGTCAAACAAGTGTGCCACAAAAAAGTGCACATGTGCGAGTCCATTCATGCACATGCATGGCGGTCGTGTGTGTGCTGAGTGCCCGAAGGTAACCGATGAGGCGGTTGGAGGGTGCACAGGAGGCGGTGTTGCACTGAGCATGTGAGCAGGCATGCGGCCCAGGGTGGCTGGACACGTGGTGGAGGAATGGGAGTGCAAGCCCGCGTGTCCGAGTGCAGAGGATGAGCGTCCTGCCAGTGCCTCACTGTGTCTGCCCTGGAGGTGGCTGTTTAGGAGGGCACGCTGGAGGCCACTAGGGTCGATGTGCGGTGTGTATGCAGGTGCCCACCCTGAGTTGTGTTTCAGGGCACACAAGCTTCCTGTGCCTGCTGGAGGTGAACGTGCAGGTGTCAGTGCTCCCTCTGGGCGTGATTGTGATGTGCTCGGGTCTGCATGAGGCTGTGTGTCCTGCTGTATCTGCCCAGGTGTGCCCAGGTGAGCTGCGTGAGGGGCACGGGGGAACTGCAGTAGTTGGGGCCTGTCCGTGTGCCAGCGTGAGTAGACTCTGGGCTGGGGAAGCGACAGGGAATGGTGTGTGCGCTTGTGACAGACGCCAGAGCGGCCAGGTGGAACGTGCTGTGTCACAGGAGACTTTTTGGCAGAAAACGAAGTGTGCGAGTGTAGGAGGAGGGGCCGTCCACGGAGTTTGGGGACACCCGGGGGTCCGAGCCCCAGAGCCTCCCCGCCGGAGCTCTGCAGCTGGGGCAAGGAAGCCCGAACCCGCCGCCTGAGGTCCCCATGCCGTGAGTGACACGCGCCGCCGACAAAGGCTGTATTTTTCCAGGCTCGCACCCCGCCCGCGTGCGCGCGATGGTCCCCATGGCGACGCAGATAGCGCCGCAGCCATTTTCCCTATCTCCACGGAGTCTATTATACTGCGGGATTAGCTCATCTCCAGGCAGGTCAAACCCAAAGTCACACAACCTGCGACGCGAGCCCCGCCCCCGCTCCCCGGCCGCCCCTCCCCCGCCCCGGCCCGCGCCCCGGCCCGAGTCTGGGCCCCGGCCCGGCGACCCCAGCCGCTGTCCAAGAGCAGGCGCAGAGCGCCACCTGGCGGCTGCGGGTGTCTAGGGTGGAGTCCGAGGAGCCGGCTCCCGTGCAGAAGAGGTTGGGTGACGGTCTCTACCTCCAGAAGGCGGGCTTTCCGGGAGCAGGGGCTTTGCTTTGTCACTGCTGTTCCCCAGGGCCAGGCTGACACACAGTAGGTGCTCCATAAGTGTTTGTTGAAAGGATGGGTGAATGGATGGGCAGGAAATTATAGACGGGGTGGGCGGGGGTGGGGGCAAGCTGCCAAAGGCTACAGTTTAGTTGGCAGCAAGAAATCGTTTCTGAGAATGCATCCCACAGAATTTAGAATAAAAGCCAAAAACGCCAAACTCTTAGAACCTATGTAGTGGCCCTTACTGACCTCTCAGACCTCATTTCCTTCTTCCTTACTGCATCCACAGTGGCTGTCTTCCTGTTCCAGAGCGTTCCATCTCAGGTCCTTTGAGTCTACTGTTCCCGCCGCCCCGAGTGCATTCCACGTCCACTCAAGTGTCACCCTCCGAGAGCCAGGTTGCTCCTTTGTGCCCCGCTCTTCCCTGTGAATTTCTTAATTTTTTTTTTTTTTTTTTTTTTTTTTGAGACAGAGCCTTGCTCTGTTGCCAGGCGCCAGGCTGGAGTGCAGTGGCACGATCTCCTCTCACTGCAACCTCCGCCTCCCTGGTTCAAGTAATTCTCCTGCCTCAGCCTCCTGAGTAGCTGGGACTACAGGTGCACGCCACCAAGCTCAGCTAATTTTTGTATTTTTTTAGTAGAGATGGGGTTTCACCATGTTGGCCAGGATGTTCTCAATCTCTTGACCTCGTGATCCGCCTGCCTTGACCTCCCAAAGTGCTGGGATTACAGGCATGAGCCACCGCGCCAGGTCCTGTGCATTTCTTTCATAGTGCTTAACACAGTCTGAAATCACCTCGCCCCTGTGTGCGTGCTGTCTGGCTCTCCCTCTAGTATGCCAGGCTTCTTGTGGGGGTGGGGGCTCTGTTTTGCTTGTGGCTACAGCTCAGCAACTGGAATCATAGCTGACAATTGATTGGCATCAGTCGAAACTCTGGGAATGAGGGAATGAGGATAGAGGGGCCTGGATGGGCTTCATCATTGTCATTTCTCTTTATCACTACGGGAGCTCCTCTTTCCCCCCCATGACTTTTTGCAAGTCATTCAGCAGCCACTCCAGCCCCACTGACGTGCTCCCATCCCAGAGGGACCTGGGATGGAGGGAGAGAACTACTGAGGCCCCTCCACATCCCTGCACCCGCTGTGCCCATCGGGGCGGAGAATAATTCTCACCTGGCTCTCGGGAGCTGTGGCCTCTCTAGGGAGGGCTGGCCTGCCAGCGAGACTTCACTCATAATACAAGATAATTACACCAGAGTTGTCATGAGGCGGTGATGATTAATTGCTGTGTGTGGGGCACACACCAACAGCGAGGCATAGAGAGCAAAGAGAAGGGCTCAGCCCAACAGGGCTTCCAGGTGGGAGCTCGCCCTGCCCATCTCTGCCCTGGAAGGGGCTCAGCAGGCATCAGGCCAAGCTTAACCTGCCCAGGCAGGCTTGGGACAAACCCTGGGAGAGGGCCTTGGCCGGGACCTCTGAGAATTAGCTTCACTTCCCTCAGAAATGCCCCAATTCCTTCCTGGAAGAGGAGCTGTGTGACAGCTCAGGTGAGGGGGTCAGGACTCCCCCATCTCCTCCGAGCACACCCACCTACATACCCCTACCAGCTGGGTGGCTGGACGAAAGTAATTTTTCTGCTCTGAGCCTCAGGGTCTCCCTCTGCCCACCTCCCTCCAGGATGACTGGGAGAATTATGTGTGAGTGTGCATTTAAAGAGTTGTGTTTTGTAAACCCAGGCTTTGCAAATTGGCAGCCCAAGTCTCAGGGGCCTGTGCAGTGACTGATCATTGCCAACATTTCGAAGTAGAAAGATGTCATGTAAAGAACGTCATTTCCAGCTTCTCTTGAAAAGTTGTAAGATGAGCCACCCTGGGACTGTATTCCTGAATGGCAACGTAAAGGTGGAGTCCTGCAGCATCACCACCTATGATAGTGTGCACCAGGGTTCCCACCCATCGGCTGCAGGCCCTCGGGTCGGGGATGTGCCCCTCATGGAAACACCAGTTACTGTGGCTGTGTTGGTTTTGGCTTTCCTTCTCTGTAGCCTTCCAATATCTTTCTCCCTCGGGGTACTGTAAACCACTTAGTAATTAATTAGTTAATAAATTAATCTAATCAGCACTTTTAAATAATGTGCTAGGCCACACTGTGGTGGACCCCAGATGGACAGCAGCAAACAAACAGCCATGGGACCTTCCCTCAGGGAGCAATCAGTCCAGTGGAGGAGTCAGATATGACTCACCACACAGATGAAAAACTCTCCACAAATGATGAGACTGCTGAACATAGATGGGCTGCGGCTGGGTCCAGGCTTACTTGCAGAGATCTACGTTGGGCCAGGCCCTGTGCTAGGCAGCAGAGGACATGGAATAAAATTGAATATGGTCACTGTGTGCAGACAACTCATGGTGTGGTAGAGGAGCAGCCCCCAATCAACAGGTTCTGTTTTTTCCAGCCTGTGAGAATTGGAACCACAGGGTGAATTTTGGAAGAGAGGAACTTACACTAATCTGGAAGCATAATATATAAAGAGTACCTACAAATCAATAAAAAGAAATACAATAAAAAAATGAGCAAAGCATATGAACAGAAAATTCAATGAAAAGAAAATAGAAATGGCTCTTAAATGAATGAAAACATACTCTCACTCAGAGAAATGAAAATTTAACACGTCAAGATACTTGGGGTGAAGGAAGTGTTCTAAAATTAGATTGTGGTGATGGTTATAACTCTGTACATTTACTAAAACTTATTGAAGTGTATGCTTAAAACAAATGAACTTTATAGCATGTCAGTTATATCACAATAAGGCTGTTTTAAAAATAAAAACACTTTGAGATACCATTTTATACCTGTTGGTATTAGCAAATGTCAAAACACTGGATAACGCATCATGTTCCTAAGGGCATGGGGGAGACGGCCTGGGGCAAGTGTCCACTGATGCACTCTCAGGTTGGGATGAGCAACAGGACGCTGTGAAACTTACAAATATATTTACCCTTTGAGCTGGGAATTCCACTCAGGACTTTATCTGATAGATATGCTTTACATCTGTAAAATTTATCAGGAAATTCACCGCAGCCTGATAGATTATGGCAAAAGTTTGGAAACAAAAGATGTTCATCTACAGATGAAATGCTATGCCACTGTTGGAAAGAGAGAGAGAGAAAAGAGTGAGAAAAAGGAAAAAGTAGCTCATTGCATACAGATACAGCATAATCCCGAGATAGAATTCTTGTGAAAATAAAGGTGCAGTACGTGATGTGTTACCACTTGATTAAGAACTGGGCAAGGAGAGAAAATATATACATTTGCTTACATATTTACAGAATTTCTCTGGATGGAAAACAAAAGAAGATGTTAACAATGGTTGACATCTACTTGGGTTTGGGACCTGGGTTTGGGTGGCTGGGGACAGGGATGGGAGAAAGATTTTCACGGTGTACTTTTTTATTCCTGTTGAAATTACATAGATAGGTGATAGGCAGAGCTAGAGAGCTATACACGTGCACACATACATACCCACATGTATATATACCCTATATGGGAAAATGAGATTAAATGCAAAATGATAACTTTTTGACTAAAATAAAGATGGAAAAAAGTTTTCCAAGAAGAAAAGTCAGGGGAAAATTCCAGCCGCTGACTAAAACGTAAAGAAACAAGAATTCCCTTGCCTTATTGCCAGGAATGTAAATTGTTCCAACTATTTTGCAGAGTAATTTGGCTGTTTCTGGCAAAGCTGAAGATTGGAATGCCACATGGCCCAGCCAGTCTTCTTCCAGGGATATGAGAAGCCCTCACACATGAGCAAGAAAGAGGTGTGTCCAAAGACATTCATGGAGCCCTATTTGTTAAAAGAGAAAGAAAGAAAGAAAGAAATTAAGAAATACCCAACCTGGGCAACATAGGAAGACCCTATCTCTACTAAAAATAAAAAGTTTAAAAACTAGCCGGGCATGGTGATACACACCTGTGGTCCCAGCTACTTGGTAGGCTGAGGTGGGAGGATCACTTGAGCTCAGAATATCGAAGCTGCCATGAGTTGTGATCGTGTCATTGTACTCCAGCCTGGGAGTGACAGAGAGTGAGACCCTGTCTCAAAAGAAAGGAAGAGAAGAGAAGAGAAGGAAAACAGAAACCAACTTTGGACTCAGCTGACGGCCCATCCTGAGGGTACCAGGTAGCAGATGCTGGGACCTTCTTCAAGTGGATGCCACACAACATTTTCTTTGCAGGCGTCCATGCTGATGTTCACAGGGCACACAGCGTTTCAGCTGAAGAAAGAACTGGCAGGATTTTCATCAAGAAAGGGCACTATCATTTATGAAAATGAAGCATATAAAGTAAAAGTTTGGAAACAGAAATGAATTAAATCTTCGGACGGATTTTAAAATAAGATTTAAAAAAGAGCAAGACATGCCATGTTCTTGGATGGAGAAACTTAACACCAGAAAAATGTCAGTTTTCCCATTTTTCCCATAGAAATGTAATGTAATTCAAATTACATTACCAACAGGATAATTTTTTTAAAACTGGATAAAATGATCTCAAAGATTATATGGCAGAATAAATGCCCAAGAACTACCAGGGAAGGCTGGGAAAAAACTGCTGTGGGGGTTTTGTTTTCCTGGAAATAAGAACATACTACAAAGTCACTGTAATCAGATCAATATGACAGTGGTAGAGGACTAGACAATGGAAAGGAATGGAGAATACAAAAATAGACTTCAGGATACATGAGGAGGAGATATATGACAAAGGCAGTATTTTGATTTGGTGGGAGAAGGGCGTGTTGTGAAGTCAGTG